TGGATATGTGGTGGCATAAACCACCCCTATTTTCAACTTAACCTAATATTTGATATCCACCGAGAAACCAAAATACAAAATTAAAATCAATTCGATTGAAAAATGTGTACATATCGAATGTTGTGGGGTACCGGGGGGAGGCTTTATCAAAACTTTGACCGATATATTACATTTTCAATACCATAAATCTGTAAAGCATATTCAAAAGTTCAAAGATTTGTTCTCGTTTAGCAATATGTAAAAAAGACTCGTGTCAATCGGTGTCCCCGAAAAAAATTTTTTTTTGAACAACAAGGGAAGTATATTTTTGGGGATATATCACAATTTATTTGCCTGAAGACTTTAGAGAAATTCGAAAAAAATTGAACAACAGAAGTCGAATCATTTTGCAGCTTACAAATTTGTTGATCTTACTCGAAAGAGCTGCTTTGCAATCCGTGTAATTCATCCACCGTACATCCCTGAGGTGGCATCAAAAAAGCTTTATTTTCGTTGTGTTCAAAAAATATAAATGGTTCCGACAATTGGTTTGAGCGCATGAAAAATGTAATACGTCGAACTGGACAACATTCTTGAATTTTAGGTGATGAATATTTCCTTTTTCATTATTAGGTCAGAAATATACATAGCAGCCTTCGTATTCTATTCCGGCATATTTTTTTTGTAATTACCCACATTTTCGGTGGGATCGATATAGAATGCTATAATTTTATACAGGTTGCTGTTTGTAGACAGGTCATGTTTGAAGATGGCTTTCATTTTCCCACGTCTAATTAACCGGTCATGACAAAAAAACAACAGAGAACAGAGAGAACATGCATGAATGGACGATTGGTCCATAACTGTGGCCTGTATTGTGTTTACAAATTATGATTGACAGATAGACGGTCTGGTGGACAAACATACATATTTAGATCCACTCTGATAGTCGAGATATGTCGATTCTACATAGAAAAAGGTGGATCTAGGATCAAAATTTCGCGGCGTTAGAAACTTTTGGGTATAGTTGTATAGGTTATAAAAACATCTCACCTGTCTGACTTCGACTCTATTGCCCTGGGTTTTATATTTAGCTAATTTTCAGCGAGTCAACTACAAAGTGAATATTATATTATCTCTAGGGATTCCACATCGCAAATAATTAATAATTTTCCATGCGTGAAGTTTGTGTGTACATATTTAATGTCAGCAAATAAACCTTTCAATAAAACAAGCGAGGGTCGAGAAAAGTTGAATTAAACGTGTTTTTAACCTAAGTTGACTACATACGGTTTTTATAACAACTTAATGAAATAAAATACTAATTTTGAATTTTGTCTAACATAAACATAGAAACACTTAAATACAGTAGACTTAACAAAGAACTAATAAAATTACAAGAAATCTACTCTCTATTCCACTATCTCTATCCTATCAATTTGTAAAACAAGTAATATTGACATTAACATGTAAATAAAATGTTTTTTTTTTGAAATGGAAAAATTGAATCATACTAACAAATATATTAAATGAAATTAACAAACTTTATAAATGAAAGTAAATAATATATAAAATTGTATTAAAATTAGTTGTGAAATGTAGTTTATTGTTAACAAAAATTTCTTAATATTAAAAAATCTAAAATTTATTTTAAATTGAAACCCAAAATATTTAAATTATTAAAAAATACATTTGCCTGCATTTTAATTAATTCGTATTTTTTATAAATATTCTATAGTTATTTTGTATAGTTTTGTACATTTATAAAATTTACTCCATTGTAGATATGGTTCAGTGAAATCTGCCCACAGACGTACGGGTAAAATTAAAGGTATTGAGCGAATATTGGGTGCTGTCGATACACTGCAGGAATCATTAATCGAGGTGACATCGGGCCAGGCAAAATATGAACATCATCATAGAGCCATTGTATGGCGTTGCCCACGTTTGCCAAAGGAGGGACAAGGTGAGTTGAAAACGATTTTATTAAATTATAGTAATCGTTATAAAACTAAATCTGTGGAACATGTATTTGATTATGTCAGAAAATTATTAATGACCCCTTAAAATATCTTCTGATTATAGAAGATGTTCTGAAAGGTTTTCTGTGTGTTTTTAAAGCCTTCTGCCTACAAAAGTTTTTCTAAAAGGGATTCTGTCCAAACAATAACTTCTAAAAATTCTTCTGACCACAGACAACCTTTCGAAAGTCGTCTGTCTATAGAATCCATTTCAGCAGAAGACAGTTTAAAAGGCCTTCTGCCAATAAAAGGTCCTTGCTTATAGAATATGTATTACAATCAATATAATACATTTGCAAATTCCTAAGGTATCCAGATGGATGTCTTGTGCCTGTAGGATCTACTGTCGATGGTCCTTGAAGATATATTCTCTTCTTCTGTAGGTCTTTGAAAAATATTCCCTTGAAAAAATATTTTTATTTCCTTCTGTTGGTCCTTGAAAAACAATCCTTCTGTTGGTCCTTGAAGAAATATTCTTTTCTTCTGCTGGTCCTCGAAAAAAAATATTCTTTTCTTCTGTTGGTCCTTGAAGAAATATTCTTTTCTTCTGTTGGTCCTTGAAGAAATATTCTTTTCTTCTGCTGGTCCTCTAAAAAAAATATACTTTTCTTCTGTTGATCCTTGAAGAAATATTCTTTTCTTCTGTTGGTCCTTGAAGAAATATTCTTTTCTTCTGCTGGTCCTCGAAAAAATGTTCTTTTCTTCTGTTGGTCCTCGAAAAAAATATTATTTTCTTCTGTTGGTCCTTGAAAAAATATTCCCTTATGTTCCCTCGAAAAGAATATTCTTTAAAAAATCCACGTCGTTGAAAAAATATTCTGTAAAAAATCCACGTTTTTATAATGGTCGTCGAAAAAAATATTATTTTCTTCTGTTGGTCCTTGAAAAAATATTCCCTTATGTTCCCTCGAAAAGAATATTCTTTAAAAAATCCACGTCGTTGAAAAAATATTCTGTAAAAAATCCACGTTTTTATAATGGTCGTCGAAAAAAATATTCTTTAAAAAATCCACGCCTTGTAATGGTCGTTGAAAAAATATTCTTTAAAAAATCCACGCCTTGTAATGGTCCCTTAAAAAATATTCTTTAAAAATCCACGCCATCTGTCGGTCTTTGGGAAAAACATTCGTTAAAAAATCAACGCCATCTGTCGGTCTTTGAAAAAATATTCTTTAAAAATTTCACGCCTCCTGTCGGTCCTTGGAAAAATATTCTTTAAAAATTCCACGCCATCTGTCGTTCTTTGGAAAACATTCTTTAAAAAATCCACGCCATCTGTCGGTCTTTGGGAAAAAACTTGTTTTTAAAAAATCAACGCCATTTGTCGGTCTTTGGAAAAACATGCTTTAAAAAATCCACGCCTTGTAATGGTCCTTGAATAAAATATTCTTTAAAGCATCGCTTGTTATTATTTTTGTTTTTATTATTTTCAGGTGCCTATACCACCCATCAATTGGTGTGCCGCATGGCCCTTACCTCTTATGATCAAATACCCAGTGAATTGGCTCCATATGCCTTTGTGGAGTTTACAATGCCAGCAACCCAAGTCTCGCATACAACAATACGTTCGGTAAGCGTACAAGAATCGGAATCGGATGAACCACCCGAGAAGTATGTGAGATATTTGGCCAGACATGAATACAAGTAAGTTTAAATTCAACAATTTTTAAAACAAACTTTTCAAATAAATATTTTTTCAATACAGAGTTGGCATTGAAACAACCCATGGTGAATCGACAAATGCCTATTTGGCCGCCACCAGGCCAATACGTGAGGAGCCGGCAGAAAAACCAGCAGCATCACCAGTACCGCCACCAAGTGACTCAGATTCGGATTCAAATTAGATTTAGAAATGTTGAATTTGAACATGAAAACGTAGACAAGTTTAATGGAACACAATGAAAAACGAACATAAAACAATACCTACATACACAGTATTTTGTTGCTTATCAAATAAAAGTTATTAATTAGGAAGAAAAATTAAGAAATAAAATTAAAAGGGTCTTATAAATTTAAAACACAACTCTGTATTTTGAATCTAATTGAAATTCGATTCAATTCCCAGCATTGCGTTTTATGTGAATTTGATCCACAAAAAATAATTCCTCTATTCTCAAAAAAATAAAACACTGATATTTATATACATACCAAAAGAACATACATACATAAATATATACTCATATTCAAAAAATAAATATAAATCATTATTAAAAAAAAAAAACAAATACTAAATAAGAAATCGAAAGAAGTTAGGAAGGAAGGAAAAAAGGAATATATAACTGCTATAACGATCTTTATAAATTAAGCTTAAATATTATTTAAACAAATAAAAACAACAAGAACAACAACCACAGTAAACAAACTAAAGTTCCAAGAAGAAAAACAAATAATTAAAAAAAAAATAATTGTTAAATGTTTAAACAAAAATTAAAAACTAAATAAATAAAGAAATGAAAATATATATAATAATCCATAAACCACAAACTTTCTCCTGAATAAATTATTATTACTAAAGAAAAGCAAATCTATATATATAAAAATAAATATGTTCACATATACACTCATATAGGAAATCATATATATATATACATCTATTTTATTTTTATGTTTCATTACAAAAAACCCTATATACATATTTCATTTAGGTGGAAACCAAAAAAAAAAAAAAAAAAAAAATACTTGTTCACAATCCTTATAGATAATATTTATAAAAAAACAAAAATTTATAAACATACTATACATATATACATACATAAACATAAGCTAAAACATACACATACTTAGTTGGACAATAACATTATTTAGAAATTTTACATACCTATGTATGTCACAATACGCAATAGTGAATATTTATGACATACATTTAGTAAAGGTTGAAATACATACATTCATAAATAATTGTTACAAAATAAATTACACATAACGTACATACATATTCAAACACACATCACATACATTGGAAATTATTGAGAGAGAGAGAGAAAATATATACATATATTAATGTTATCAAAAAGGTTTAAATCGCATGTTTTTCTTTTGACTTCTACAAAGTTTTTGGAAATTGTATTTGGTATATAGAAGTCATTTTGAAATTTATTCTGTGTATTGCCCACTGCTTTGCGAAAAGTCTTCAAAATACTGTCTATGAATGACTTTCCTTTTGTTGGTCCTTGTAATGGTCCTTGAAAAATAATCTTTAAAGTCCACGCCTTGTAATGGTCATTGAAAAATTGAAACATATTCTTTAAAAAATCCACGCCTTTTAATGGTCTGCCTTCTGACACGTCTTCAAAGCGTTTAAAGACTTTATATTGTCATATTTTCCTTTGACTTCTGGGAGTGGTATTCGGTCGCCTGAGGGTTATTCCTTGAAGAAGTACAAATTATATAATTTATATGTCCGAAGAGCCATGTTTATTCGTTGCCCAAATTTCACTCTTCGTGAAGTTCGGGTTATAAATGTGACCTCTAGAGGCACAAAAAATAAAGTTATGGGTCAATTTCATCCAATGAATAACCGATCATTTTCAAAAACTGTAGTTATCGACTTTGGCCAGTACGGAACATTAGACCATAACAGCGATCTGTACTTTGATACAAAACTTTTGACACAAAACAAAATCGATCCGGCAAATCAAGATAAATATCGAGGCCACAAACCACAATAATAACGTCACAGAATAGTTGTGAACTAACATGTTTCAAAACCAAACCTTCTGTTAGCAAATAGTTTACGAACTTTATCGTAATTATTAAGGCAGGGAGAAATTATTTATGTTGTTATGGTGTCCCCGACGAACATCTCAGGGTATTCAAAAATTACAGTTTAAATATGACCACCATAAGAAGTCACTAGAAGTATGGTCTGAGGAATGAAATGTGAGTTTTTCTGGTCGATTGAAACTATATAGACCGTACAATTCTTTGGCAGGAACTTATGAAACCTGACGCCCTTGTAAACACTTTTGGCCAAGTTCAGCCTTCCTTCTCGATCATATTTGCATTCGGGTGATTAAACTATCCACGTTATGACCAACTGGAATTTGTTAAATTAGATCATTTGAAAATTATACTTCTCCGTTGGATTCTAATCCACGAGGACCTTGACGAGAATTGGGAACTCTATCAGTCTAGAAATTGAGGAAGGAATTGCTCATATTTGTCCTTCCAAAAAATGTGGGCTTTTCAGGTGGATTGAAACTCATATAGACCGTACAATTCTTTGGCAATAACTTATGAGGCCTGACGGCCTTGTAATCACTTTTGGTCTAATCCAGCATTTCTTCTCGATCATACTTCCATTGCGTTGGTAGAAACATCCACGTCCAAAACCCCAAAGTCTTCAATCGTCATCAGTTGTGATCAACTGGAATTTATAAAATTAAATAACCTCAGTTGGATCCGAGACCATGAGGTACTTCCCGAGAATTTTGAAAAATATAGAATATGTCAGGATTTATGGACATTGAACTTCTGTGTTAGAATTTAGGCTAAGTTGAGGTGTCGGTCACCGAAAGATATACCTTGCGCCATTAACATTATATTGCGCATTTATTCTGATTTTTGTACGTGGAGATTTACAATATCATTTTTAAATTTAAAATTTTTAAAAATTATGACGGATTGTGGGGAAGTGCCAGTAGGTTTATTCTGTAACTGTTTAACAATATTCGACATTGTTCATTTTACAACAATATAATTTCTTGGTTTTGTTGTTTTTACAATAACAAAAGAAAATTAAACAATATCGAATGTTGTTAAAAGTTACAGAATAGGCCTACAGGTTTGTCTACCAGGCTTTGTATATGTGTATATATTTTTTACCAAATTGGGAGGTATCAAAAGAAGTGACTCTTTAGACCCCGTTTTTCGATTTAATATAGGTTTGGTAAAAATATTTTAATAAGCATTCACTGGATAAAATCGGATATTCCACTCGTTTCATGTAAAATTGAAAGTGTATTTAAATGATGACCCTTAGTGGAGAAGATGGGAGAAGGTGTGAATCGATTTTTCGCACTTGATCTAGATTTGCTAATAATAATACGATATGAGTGAATCGAATTTGACTCGCCTTCTGCTTGATATTGGATTTGAATATTTTAAACATATTGACACATTTTACGGGGGAAGGTGTAGACCGATGGGTTCCATAATTTGAGGAGGACATTGGTTTTCCATTCGATACATATGATTTGGGAGAAAAACTAGAAGGAGTGGACCAATAAGTCCTATTTTTAAAAATTATACAGGATTGTTTTGAAGTATTAGGTTGTGAAAAGTTTGTTCCAATAAGATTCGTATGATAGCATAGAATTAATTCTCAGTCAATTATTGGCAATCTGGAACATACCTGGAAAGCGAATCGTTTTAAATGTGGAGTTTATATTTTTTTTCAAATAGGAAGAGAGAAAAGACCAAATATATTCCATATGGCTTTTTATTAAAAGCATTCATTTGAACCCATAGGTCTTCTTGGAGTGCGATATAATGACAATTCTGTGAGGAAAGCCGAGTAGTCCCTTAAGACCGGGTAGAAACTTTAAAGATTTCCAGTTATTGGGATAACTTATAGAAAAAGGTACAATCAGCCGTCAGACGAAACGGCCAAAAAGTGTACCATTAGGCACTCCAATATGATTTATGATTATGTCATATTAAAATGTTTAATACCAACGATGTGTGATGCATATTCTTAGGCAGCATTATATTTGGTTATGTGATATAAATAATATAAATATTGATATGCTATAAGATGACCTATTTCAGGATAAAATATATATTTCAACAGATAAGCCTTCTTCGAAAGTATATGACGATATAATGTCCAATCTGTTAGATATTAGATATTTCAGCGTAGCTTCTGCTCATTGGATAATGGCATATTGTAATGTCAAAGCCACCGATGTGCTGTGCATACTTTTAGGCAATCAAATGTTTTGTTCTATTGTATAAGCTGATCTATTTCGGGGCGAAAATGTCATCTTGTCATCAAAAAATAATATTTTAATATTTAAATGAAATCCGGTCTTTTTTTAATTGTATATCATCAGTTTTACAAAATAATTAAATGCTTGATGCATAATTCTAGGCTTTATATTTCAATTATTTTCATTCTACTGGATATTTTGTCGATTTTTATAGAAATATCGAGTATAACTGTTATAGAAACAAACATAATTAAATGGTGTATATAAAAAACATAATGAGTGAAATCTAGTGATTAGATGTAAGTAAACAGTCATATGTATCCCGATAAATATCTATTAAATACACACATATTCCAAACTATCATAGTTTCTAAATCGTTTCAAAAATTTACTTTGAAATTATGAACTTATACAAAAACTATTTATAAATCAACTTTTGGTTTTATAAAGTCAAATTTCTGAGTTGAAAAGCGAACTTGACTGCAATGCGATCTTTGTCCACATATATATTGGGCAATATACTTTGTACTTGGTGGATATAAGCAGGTACTTTTAGTATAAGATAAGCAGGTGATAAGTCCGATATATTTAGAAATATTTTACAATTTCATAGACAGAAAATGTCAGTAGGAAAAGAAAATGTATTACTTGCAACAGGAAAATATAAAGGTTCTTTCAGAGATTTCCCAATTGGAGACAACAAGTTTTAAAGGTTATGGATTTCTTATAGAAAGCTGATGTGTTCATCAGTAAAGTTCATTTAAATACTTGTATAACTTTATACAGTGAGTGATGCATACTTTTAGGCGTTGCACATATTTTACGTAAAAACGTATTCTACTTATTTTCATGCATATACAAATACATCTACATTATACAACAATCACAAACATATATGTAGATTATTTGATGTCATTAT